AAAAAAAAAGCCTGAAACTGAAAGAATGAAACATCTGCTCAGCACAGAGATAGTAAAAATCTGCAATTAATCAGTCTGTGATAACAGACATTGATAAAGTTATCTGAAAACTTAACAAGAAATGAAACGTCCATCATTGTAGTATCAAAATGAGAGACCACTAAAGCCCTACTGTGTCATGGTCAGTGTGATACTCAACTGTTAACCTTTATCAGCTCATGACAGTAACCAGTCCTGAGCTCAAAATGACTTCTCTTACTTCCACCTTAGAAACTGCAATCAATTCAGAGCTGATCCTATCCTAGAGCCTCCTTAGAATCAATCATGGAAGGCTCAGATATCCCAAATGCTTGCTAATCTCTCACACCCTTACATGAACACCTCATGGACCTATGGCAGGCAGTCTACCTTGATGCAACAAGTCAAGCAAACCTGTGTTGCTAGGCTTCAGGTTTGTCTTTGGTGGTCTTCACCAGGTAGGTTTGAGGAGTCAGTTTTATTACCTGATGAATATTTACAGCCATCTCATAAACATAATAGTTTTTGGTTGGTTTGTTTTGTTTTCGAGTTTCCTTCATCTCCTGAGATTTCATGTATTTTGGATTCACTTTGGTTTTCTGAACCATGTCTTAAACTTTAGTTTGCATTGGTGTTTACTAAAAATACAGCATGGTTCTTCTAGCACCTATATGCCTCTATTGGGAAATATTAGCTGGTTATTTAATCTCACTAAAGTGCAGTTGCATATCTATAAAAGAAGTATAATAAGAGCCCATTACTCAAAGGATTTTGTAAGAATTAAGTAAAANCTATTCTGGATATTTCATATAAATGGGCTCATACAATATGTGGTCTTGTATGTCTGTCTTCTTTCATTTAGCATGTTTTAAGAATCATTCATGTTGTAGTATGTGTCAATACTTCATTCCTTCTTTTTATGGCTGAATAGTACAAGGAATATTCCATGGAAACATTTTGTTTATTCACTCAGTAGTTGAAAGACATGTGGGTTGTTTGAGCTTATTTTAAAGGAATGGGTATATACATGCATTCTTTGCCCATTCCTTCCCTCAAATGAAAGAAAATCAGTAGCAAAATGAAGTTGTGGCAAGCAAGCAAAATAGCCAACAACTGGTACTTAGAAAAGGAAAACCACCCTTCTCTTTTAGGTTAAGTCAATAAAGAATGGGACCAAGATTTGGCATCCATCAAAACTCCTAATGCCTTCCAATCCCGTGTTTGAGGTGAGTTCATCCACTAAGTCAGCAGGTTAATCCATTAGGAAGTCCTTGGATCAGAAGGAAGAACTAAAAGTCCAGATCAGTGGTTTTAATCTATCTTCCAGAGACTCCTACGTTTTCATGGAAGTTACTCAGGGCCTCCAAGGGGCCTGGGGCTGGGGTGCAGATGGATAGGACTGAGCCCAGCCCCCCACCCCTGCTTTAGAGAAGCTCTGATTTTAATGGTTTCATTTGTTGAGGTTCTAAGAGTTCACTTGGAACAAATAAAGGGGCTAAAAAATGTTTGGCAACTACTGGTAAGTATCTGTGGAACCCTTAGCCTGGAGTTGAGTCTCATGGTGGCCATTCTTAGGAGTTCTTCTGTGGAACCTTGATGGTGACTGTCTTCACCTCCGTGTAGGCCTTCAGCCCATCCTCCCCCAGCTCCCTCCCATTGCCAGACTCCTTAAAGCCTCCAAATGGCGTGTGGCAGGTGACGACGTTATAGGTGTTTACCCACACTGTCCCAGCCTGGAGTGCCTGTGTGAAGTACAGGGCCTTGTCCAGGTCCTGGGTGAACACAGCAGCAGCCAAGTCATACCTGGTGTTGTTGGCCCTCTCAATCACCTCCTCAATCGTCTTGAACTTGAACAGGGGCTGCACAGGCCCGAAGATCTCCTCCTTGGCGATCCTCATGTTATCCTGCACACCACCGAAGACCGTAGGCTTGATGAAGAAACCACGCTCCCCAAAACGCTCCCCACCACAGAGAAGTTTTGCCCCCTCCTTCTGGCCAAGCTGGATATAGCCCAGGATTCGTTCAAACTGCTCTTTGTCCACCTGGGGCCCCTGCTGGGTGTCCAGCGCAAAGGGGTTCCCAACTTTCCTCTGCTTAGCTTTCTCCACAGTTCTCTCGAGAAACTCATCATAGATGGATTCTTCGACGAAGGTCCGGGACCCTGCACAGCAGCACTGGCCNGTCTTATATAAGAAGGAAATTACTTCTGGTGCTCCCTTTCTTCCAAAGTAAGCAAGGAAACCAAAACTCACACCTCTACATTCATTGAATACCTAGGAAATTTAAATGATTTAATTACTTATATTGAATTCCCTGTCAAGACTCAAAAGAATAAACATCAGTCAGGGCTAGATTGTTACTGAAATTCTTGGTTGATGTGAATAATGAAGGTGGTTGCGATCAATCGAACTGGAGTGTAAATACTAAAAGCAGCCATTTATCCAGTAGAGATTTATCAAAAGATTAAAGAGACTGCATGGAAGAAATAAATTTGCAGGAAACAGGATTTGCCTGTTGCTGTTAATTCTATTCTGCTATCTCTCAGAGACCATTTGAGGGAAATTTAAGATCTGAGAGCGAAAACATTGTGCTGGCAGTAATCAGGATGAAGACAGCTGAAAAGTTACCTGCTTGTCTGAATGAATTTGTACCGTATTTCATGTGTGGCGATCCTGACTTTCCTGCTACCTCTATGTACTCTTCAAGTTTTATATGTTTCTAAGTACTTAGTCATTGTTATTGTGTCTGAGGCTGACCTGGGCATTCTAGCTGAATCCTTTATGTTTATGTGATTCTTCTTCCTCTTTGACAGTGCCTGTGCTTGTAGATTCCAGTTATTTGTTTTCTGTCTCAGGCTATGTTATCAGATTTATGTCCAACTGCATTTCTCGGCAAGGCAGCCAACGTACCATTCCCCTGCTCAAGACCTCTCACAGATTTAGCTCATCTCTTACTTTTTCTTTTATTAGTCCCAACTTGTAAGAAGTAAAACCAGTGAGCCTTTGAAGGTATTTTCCAGACAATTATAAGCTGATTGACGACTTTCTTTTTCTCATACAGCCACAGTGTTGTCACCCAGCATCCAAACATAGACTCTCTGGAATACTACTAATAATGATTTCTCTAAAGATGATGAGCCCAAGCTATATTGTCACAAATGAACCCCTACAGTGGAAAAGCAACTTACATAAAATAAGTAATTGCTTTTCTTTACTGTTTTGCTGCAGAGGAGGGTTCCTTCAAAATATGCCAACTAAATG